TTCACCCATTATTCTGTGATTTATCCTCTTAGTACAAAAGAATGCATCACGAATTGGTTTGATTTTATATCATGAAGCCGTTATCCAACTATTTCAATCTTTATATTGAATCATGCAGTAATGCAGACCTGTCCATGTCCAATCCATCCCCATGAAGAACTCGAAGAAGAATCGTCCCAGAGCTTGCAACTCTGACATGACAGAGGTGCAAAATGTACGTTTCTCAGCCTCATGATTGGCTGTTTCACTCTGCTGATCGGACACAGTGGTCTACGAAAAGTATGTGCCATCACCGGATGCTATCAGTTGCGTTGTCAGCAATATCCCTTGGATTTTTAACTTCACTGTTAATACATCTTGTCCACTTTAGCGTTCTTAGTTTCATTTATTCGGATGCTGTTCTCCTTCCTCTTCATCTTGAAAGTGGTATTTACTGAGATACGTTAAACAACCTGTACGACTATTATTCCGTTCTTCCCCAAATTTACACTACAGCTTTCCATGGTGTCATTCCATCCCCATTTTTTCAAGCCATTGCAAAAATGTGTTCAGTAACTTCTTCGGCATTTCCATTGATAAGTAATATATTCGTAAAGTGTCTCAAATCACTATATTAGAATTATTCTGGAACTGAATTTTACTTGACCCACCGATATTGAAGCTTGGATTTCTGAGTCTTCGAAATCGCGTTCTCATTGTGGCAACGGTGACAGGGATACTAATGCCAACTTCTTCATCCGACAGCATTGCAGCTTTGCTGACCCGAATTGCATGAGCAAATAGTCGAATTTCCTACGATCGAACTGCCAAATGGTGTTATCGGCATGATGTTCATCGGCTGAATATCATCCTAGATGATGATTTTCGATTTTATTCTGTCCTACGTGCACTTGAACTTCATTTTTCAACTGGAATCGGTCGTAGTAGTCAGCTTGTGCGTTGATAATATACAGGTTGTTGTGTGGTCTTGTGCAGTCCCGTTCGTCGGTTTCGTATCTCGAGATTGAGTGTGACAGAGAAGCAATATATGACAATGAAGGGTCGGATGATGTGATGTACCAAAATTCAAAGCTTTAATGCATTTCTACTCATTGAGGTTTCTCAAAGTATGTATTCAGTGGCTTTATGCTTCGTGCTCGACGAAACCCTCAGTTGACATGTGCATTCGACTGATGAGGACTAGTAGGCAAACACCAGTTGGCATTTCGCTAAATTGCATTTTCCAGTAGGCAAATTGTATACCGTTTATCGATCACGATTTCCGATTATCTATTTCTTAGATTTTGTATTCTGATTCTAGTACCCTCATAACCCCATCCACGTGGGCCAAACCATTGCTTTGTGGGAGATGTCCCTCGCGATAAACTTACTCTGTTTAAATGTCACGAACATTGTGAATGAAACAGATTACTGTTGTGTCTGTTACGATAGTTGTTCTTCATCCTTATTCCTCTTCGGACCCACATTTGATGAGAATCATGATAACGGTTGTGTCCCGGATGAACCGTTACCTTATGAGGTAATTTCGGTGTCTTTTCCCCAAGATTTTCAGACATTGCTGAATTCGAATGTGGTAAGTGGCCTTGAGAGTGTGTTGATGTTTCTGTTTATTGTACTATTCAGTGTGACTGGTATTTCTTTGAACGTGTGTGCTCACGACCGCAGTCTACGCTATTTGAAAATCACGCGGAAACTATATATACAGGTCATTTATATGATTTTGTGGAAGATTTTCTTTCGTCCGATTTAATATTATTTGTTGGGAAGTGATTGACTGGGCTTGGTAAGGAGTAAATGCCTTTAGATCACGAATGGGCTTCTGTAAGAGCTAATGTCATTCTTCACTGATTTCATGTTTGGAACCACAGACTGAATGATATGAATCGTCCTGTCAGTGAGCTGCTAAATGTTCGCATCTGTTCTTCGATTTCTCTTCGCAAGCCGATCGAACAGGTCTGTATTTAGTATTGTCAGAATCGATCAACTCAAATTAGTGATTTTGTTTTTGCACTGCATATAGGTGCAATTCAATCCTCTCACTACTGAAACTATTCAAGTGCTCGAAATTTGCATTGGAAATTTACCCTTCAGTATGACAGTAGTCTTAAATTTGATTGATAATTTTTTATTATATCACGAATGTGGCACCTATGATACCAACCGAATCACACTCGAATATTGCGGTGCAAATTGTCTCACTTTGATTTGGTTAGCCGTGGGCACTAAATTGTTTCTAATTTTGCTTCCACTATCATTCCACATCATTCAGTTTTGCTTTGTTCCGTTAGCTAATTGAATTGGTGAAATATCCTTTTGCGTTTTTGTGGCAATTAACGTGTCGTTTTTCAATCGATCGTAGAAGTTTATTTGTAAGAATGGGCTTACTAAAGAAGTTTTTGTTGCGATTATAAATGTGATACCAAGTGTTACTGAGAGAAACTCGTCAGATTCCTTGAATTTCCTGTTAACGTTTGGAGTGTAATATGTAATGTGATTAGTGACCTTCCACCGGGTCTTGCAGATATCCAATCTGCAAACCGTACCAGGAGAAATCTCCATAAGCCGAAACACAGTAAGTGCATTAACAAGATCTTACACCTAAATTCGCCGAAAGACAATGTGGCTGCCTGGGTCCTGATCACCATAGGATGATATTTTTCGTGCTCTTCACGATAGGGTATTGTGGCCTGGTAGGAAAAGTCTGCTTATGGGGTATGTTAGAATGAACACAATGGAACACGTCATACATTCCGCACTCCCTTATAACCTGCTCAGTTATAACACTGTTGTGTCTCGAAAATTAGTAACAGAACGAAGACCCGTGAGTAGGGACGGACTTGTGTGCAATCATTAGGAAGTTATAATCGAATGAAAGCGATATCTGTCCCACGTGGAGCTAGCTTCATGTGATTAGCAGAGTTGGACAAGCCGGTGTGTAGTGAAGACATGCTTCGAACGCACGAGTGAAAGGTGAACGGAAAAGAAATGCAACGTGTGCGAACGTCAATGACACATAAGTTGACCAGACAAGAAAGGCAATGCAGCACCAACCCCATTTCCTTCCCACTTCATTCGCATGCTTAAGATGACGAATTCGAGATGGGCGATGATGATGATGATGACGATGAGCTACTACAACCGATACCATCATCCGTGAAGCCAAAAGATCGTGATCCGCTGTAATGGCTGGTCGATTTGCAACGGGCCGATGGATCGTGGGCTTTGGACGCTGAGTTTTGCCAATGTCTAAGCGTCTCACTTTCTGTTGTGCAGTCCGCTGTACCCAAAACCTGTGAGTCCATGGTTACCTTAATTTGGTGAAAGTAACTCAATTTTGGCTTACCAGTTTGCTTGACTACAAATAGATTCAAAAGCTCTAATTTGATCCTTCGTGTGTCATTCTTCAAGCTATAATGTCTATGTAGATTGGTCGCTGTTCAGTGAATTTATCATCGTCAGAAGTCAAGTACTTTATGAGGTATTTATTTTCAGATTGCTCGATTGATGGATTTTTGTTGTAAGCACATCTCTCCCTTGTCTATCCTTATTCGTAAGGGAAAATATGAATTGCTCCGAAATTGTATCGGATTACTAGAGAGTTCGTAAATGTCATCACATGGTCTGTAAGGAATGTGCCTATCATAATAAGAATAGCATGACGGCTGCCGGAGATGCATCTTACTGCATTTCATAAAAAGATAATGAAAGTTATTATCACTTGTATGTACACTTCAGGGGTGTAGCATTGTTCCTGTGGAATCCGCTGTTCTTATGTTCCACAGTAAAATAGTTCAAATTAACTTGACGCAGTCACGAGTGCATCTATCTTTACTGTGCATTGGCCGAGCCCAGTTAAACTGCATTCTACACCGGACTACTTATGTGCTTGTCAGTAGGCAAATTGTCATAAAATCCACCTAGGTCATCAGCTTTAGGCCCAATTCCCTGATGTGCTACTTTGGCATAACAAGCAAAGAGCTGCTTCACACTGGAAAGATGAGAGGAAAAACCTCGACAGGATAGCGACGTATCCACACGAACGTCGTTCATTATAACACCAGAAAGAAATGCCCCAAACAAACAAATAGGACTCAATTTGAAATCCTATCATGCGATTCTATGAACGATACTAAGATTAAGGGAATGGAGCGTAACTATGATGCATCATTTTGAGTCCATCGTACTGTTGCTTAAAACAGGATGCTTTGGAACTTCTCGTAAATATTTTCATCCACCAACGTTCTGCACAAACGTGATTGGGTCACAAGTTGAATCGGTACAATCAAATGACTTACAAAGACTTCCGAATTACTCATTAGGTTATGCGAGGACAGACCAGAAAATACAAACCACCGCCAAGGCGGTGAGATTGATAGCTCAGTGTCATCGTGTCTGTTGCGGATTTTTGTCGTGTTCCGATTTTGTTTTTTGCTCCGGTCTTGAGTTTTGATTTCACTATAAAATCGCGAGGTCAGTGTTGTATTACGTCAGAGACGGTGTTCAGAATTCGTACGCCTAATAAGAATTATTGTAAGATGGCTGAACTCTCTTGTTGGTTCGGATCATGTCGGACGGGAGCGAGGTGACGCCGTAGTAACATACACACACATCTTCAACGCGGAAGGGCCTGGATTTGAAGCCTGGGTGCGGCGGACGATGCTCATCAATGATGAGCTTTGAGAAGAGCGAAACTCGAGTCTGGTGCTTCCGAGTGCAGGGTTGGTCGGATGACCTGAGGTTTGTGTGTGAAAGGTGGAGTCCAAAGGATAATCAGCCAAGCGACGTACCGTCAATCCTATACACCACTCGAAAGTATTTGTAGGATGTATACGATTATTTGATCATTGGATTGTGTAAATTTCTATTCTCATGTTTTGTTCATGAATTTCGGGAAGAAGTGAACAGACCCATCGTTAACATCAAAATGTGTAGTCAAACGTGTTTTTGATGACTCATTTTCAAGCCGTTACAATCACAGTTATTCTGGTTCTATATCTCAGGGGATGCCACACACACAAAAGAACCTGTACCCGAGGCTTCATGGGATACTGCGCTCGCGTTGGCCTACTTCGAAACCGTATTGGCTACTCGTGCACTGGAGTGGAAGTTGTTGGCAAGAAAAGCGAATGGTTGGTTAATGGAGCAAGTCACTGTGGGGACCACTGACGCAAAAAGTGCTAAGAAATACTGTGATACTCTGATTGCAGAAGCGAAAAAATTTCTGGCGAATAAGATTTAGATTGACAAACAATATACTGGACCCTGAGACTTTATAACCGTTTTTTGACTTTATATTCTCATTTAATCTTTCATGTTCTAATTCTTCAAACGGTCGGTTTTTGATTTTTGATTTGCGACCTGTTTCTGTCACGAAATAAACCCTGCAGATTTGTCGTCGCGTCTGTTGCGGATTTTTGTCATGTTCCGATTTTGTTTTTCACTGCGGTCTTGAGTTTTGATTTCACTAGAAAATCGCGAGATCGGTGTTGTATTACGTCAGAGACGGTATTCAGATTTCGTACGCCTAATAAGAATTATTGTAAGATGGCTGAACTCTCTTATAAGGGGATTTTTAAGAAAATACCCATCAAAGCCACTTGAATAATCAAGTTTTTAAAGAGGAAGGTTTCGGCTAGAGAGAAATATATGGGGATAGGGAAAATGTTCACCGTTCGACAGTTTGTGAAATAATACTTCAACGCCCAGGGACTGTTGTGCACTAATCAGTCAATGTAGGCAAACTAATTATTGATGTCCATGTCGAAATAATCCAAGATAATCGTGTCATCACGACGAGACTGCACCCTGATATAGTGTGATGGCTTGCGTGTTCACATGATTCAAAGGACCTTGCAAGATTGCATTCCTAAGCCGAAGACGCATCAGTAGGAGTAAGGTAAGTCATTGTACTTCATTGGGCAGCTACTACCCGCAAAGCCTGAATAGCCTCCAACCCAAAGGATGCTGCTTCGTCCACGCTTAGTTTACCTTTTTGAGTTCATGGGGCTTAGGACGGAATTTGAAAAGTAGATGGATAACAGCACCAGCGAACACGAGGTAAGATAAGAACAGCAACCAGGTCTCATGTGGCAACTCAGAAGAAGTTCTCTCACTGGTACTTCAGTCTCATTCCCATGCTGGGTGTACGCGCTACTGTCTTTTCGGTCGGATGTTTGAGTCAGAGGCTCCGGTTAGCTTTCCAAAGAAAAATCCCTCCTGTGGTTTGGGTGATCGCGAAATACTTTTGGTCCAAAAGTCTCGGGCTGTTCTTCGGAAACCATTTCTTATCTCTCTGCTCTTCCCATTCCAGTTCGAAATAGATGTGCGAATCCATAAAGAGTCGTGACGGAGGACTTGTAACCACCAATAATAATAATAAATTCCTGTGGAGAAGACCTGATTTGGTGAGAAGCATTATCTTGAAGTTGTCGGGAAAGATACCGTGTTTCCATTCGAATCCGTCGGGCATTCGTGGCTGTCATAGAGGAAGAGATCTGAATAAACTTTACTTGTCGGTTCGGATCATCTCGGACGGGAGCGAGGTGACGCCGTGGTAACATACACACACATCTTCAACGCGGAAGGGCCTGGATTTGAAGTCTGGGTGCGGCGGACGATGCTCATCAATGATGAGCTTTGAGAAGAGCGAAACTCGAGTCTGGTGCTTCCGAGTGCAGGGTTGGTCGGATGACTTGAGGTTTGTGCGTGAATGTTGACTGCAATTGAGTATCGCCCAAATAAATATCAGTTCCTTAATCTTCACTCAGCTTCTTGTAGACTTCTCACGTTTTACCAACCTGGGAAACATGTTACTGTAAATAGGATTCTTGGAGCCCGTTAGACTGATGTGTTACGTCTCCAAAACACTCATGGAAGCCCCATCTTCAATGATATAACACCGTGCTTCGGATACGAACTCGGTTTTTCGTTTCACACTTCGCCTGCTGGGCGATTTGGTGTGTGATGCTCGTGGTCTGGTTGGCTTTTCAACACTGTCTGTATGGGACTTGAACGTGCTTTGCTCGACTGGATCGCAGTTAGCAGTCGTCCGTGTGCGGTTCGGTTCAATGGTTCTTGTGGTGATCCTGCGGTTATTTCAGCACTAAAAGTTTAGTCCAAGACAAAGTTCATTTATTCCGGCAAGTGATCGTTAGCAAAATTTAATTTTCGCACAGTCAGCGTTATGTAAACACGGTTCATTCCACTTCAGACTTTGAACACATAACATGCTCATCGACCGTGAAAGTCCACACATTCGACCGAACTCTATCTACTTACGACATTCGAGCAACTTATGATGACTACTTCCGCGATTGCATTCCGAATGCTACTTGCCTATGCGTTTCTCCATATTTGTATTACCTGAAAAACGCCATGATTTGCATGCTTATTGAATAATACATTTCTGTGCCAAGTGATGTGATTTCTAATTTCATTTCGTGCGATTCGGTGGTCACAGTTCTGTTCTTGTCAACAGCAAAAGACTAAAGTGTCGATGTTGGTCGTTTCTGTGTACGCCCCAACTAGCTATAACTCTCCGAAGGCTAAAGAGCAATTCTACCAAGATTTGTCTCAAGTGATCGGCAGCATGCGCGTTAAGAACTTACTGGTTGTTACATGGTCTGTAAGGAATGTGCCTATCATAATAAGAATAGCATGACGGCTGCCGGAGATGCATCTTACTGCATTTCATAAAAAGATAATGAAAGTTATTATCACTTGTATGTACACTTCAGGGGTGTAGCATTGTTCCTGTGGAATCCGCTGTTCTTATGTTCCACAGTAAAATAGTTCAAATTAACTTGACGCAGTCACGAGTGCATCTATCTTTACTGTGCATTGGCCGAGCCCAGTTAAACTGCATTCTACACCGGACTACTTATGTGCTTGTCAGTAGGCAAATTGTCATAAAATCCACCTAGGTCATCAGCTTTAGGCCCAATTCCCTGATGTGCTACTTTGGCATAACAAGCAAAGAGCTGCTTCACACTGGAAAGATGAGAGGAAAAACCTCGACAGGATAGCGACGTATCCACACGAACGTCGTTCATTATAACACCAGAAAGAAATGCCCCAAACAAACAAATAGGACTCAATTTGAAATCCTATCATGCGATTCTATGAACGATACTAAGATTAAGGGAAAGGCGCTTAACTATGATGCATCACTTTGAGTCCATCGTACTGTTGCTTAAAACGTTCTGCACAAACGTGATAGGGTCACAAGTTGAATCGGTACAATCAAGTGACTTACAAAGACTTCCGAATTACTCATTAGGTTATGCGAGGACAGACCAGAAAATACAAACCACCGCCTGTGATCAATTAACAAACCTCAGCGAAACATTTGAGGAAATGCGGAAACTTATCATTGGGAAAAGTCACGAAACTTCCACCATTTGTTATGAATATCAGAAAGTTATTCCCACTGGTATTCTCAGTCGAGACTGAAATGATGCATTCCAATGTCTAACGAGAATAAACCTTTGAAATATATTTGGCGTAGGTTGTAGCCAGGAGTCTATCGGAGGTCATTTATCTGACTGCTCTGACAAAAATGAATAATCAACACGTGGCCATGGTCACAACGTCTTACCACGTGTACAGTGATCTATCGACTTCACTTTTCGAAAGACATGGTGCACAATCAGTTTCCGACAATGAATGCCTTTCAATTCCACTTATTTGCTTCTCTATCATTACATTTTCGCGTACACTTTTCTAATTGACTTTGTTATTTACTATGTGATATTTGCTTCATTTTACCCACCAGCACGGTGTCGAGTAGTCAGTTGAGAAATTCGACCTCCTCATGGCGAATACGCAAATTTTATTCACATTGTACGCAGAATAATTGCAGTTATTTTGTACTCCACCAGAACAACCAACAAAAGTAATCATCATCCATTCCTGTTTGACACCTTGATGAAGCTGAATCCACCAATCTATTGTTGAACACATCGTGACACTACTCAGTACCCGAAGAGTGGAAGAGTGGAAAAAATTATGTCGTTAGAGAGGCAACAGTATCCGATTTGTTGTGATCAGTTTGGTACTGCTGATGATGGTTCAAATCGGGGATCTTTTGCGACAAGGTTTTACATGCCTCCAAGGTGTCTTATGTACATCATATGGATTGCATTTTTCATCCTGCCACTAATGCTGTAGATCCAACTCTTTAATTGTCCTATATAATCAGATTGAATTGGTGTTCAGAACGTAAACTCGTTACCGAATGCAATAAGGCTGTTGGGAGGCTATCTAGACCACTGGTTTCATGGACCTGACTTCCGAAAAACGGACCGTATGCTGGTTTGTAACCGTCGATAATCTTGGTTTTGTGGCAAATTTAACTGGCCAGAATGGTAAGAGAACACGCAAAATAAGGTCTGGGCGATTAGGCCTAACACTGACAAGGATATAAGAAATTCGGTGTAGAATGTAGTTTAAATGAGTTTACCCGAGTCTCCGAAATTTTCTCGCAGCCTAGAAGTCACCCTGCACAGTACGCTCAAAATTTTAGGACTGATCAGCGCTTTTTATCTGAATAGTAAAGAGAGCATTATTGCGACTGATTTGGTAATGGTTGGTTACAGTCCTTCCTGCTATAGGGCGGTTTCGGTTCGCTAAGGTTTTTTTTACTCCTTGTTGGTTGGTCTCCATGGTTTCTCCGACTGTAGAAATAGTGTAGTTTTCTCGTTCCTGGATTTAACGGCTGGTTGTCGATTGTCCTCGGTCACCTTTTTGGTTTTGTTGCCTCTTTTATGAAATTTTGCTTTTTCGGATCCGGAAATTTCCGAGATTCCAGATTACTATTTCAATTCATAAATTCGGAGCAGCATACATATTCGTTGGTTTATTCCTGCATCAGCCACAAAATGTTCACTGCATGTATAAGCACATCAGACGCATCTCCAGCAGGCGAATATGGCAGACAGGAGGGACTTTTAGTCAACTGTGCGATTTCTGATGTGTCGGTACGATTACGAACGATGTTCTACACACACACAGACACAGACACGCACACACACACACACACACTGTAACTGAACGACTGTCCAGTGAGTGAGCGACTCGTGGAACACGGATCCGAAACGCAGACGGAATAAGGCGAGTCGATGATCTACGTGTACTTTATGGGACAATAATTAGAATTACAAACAACATACCTCAATTTTATTGGGGCGATTCGATCACAAGGATGCGGGAATAGACATCAAATCGTCTGAAAGGTGTGGC